GCCAAAAATTCAGTGATGGCTTTGAGACACTAATGCTGAATCCATTTCTTTTGTCTTGGTGAGCAATGGGATAGGGTTCTTAGTAGTGTCTTCACACGGGCTGGGTAGATACAGTGGTAGATAGAGCGATCAAGGAAACCAGACAGGCTGCCTAAAGACCTCTGGTCAGGTGCCCCAAAACCAGACATAAATCCACAGCTGTTCCTGGTGTGGTCGTGGAAAGCCTGCAGTGTCGTGTCGGCTGTGCTCTTACAGGTTGAAGCTAATTCAAAGTGGGGAGCATCAGCTGGCCCACCCTCCTCTATAGGAGTTCAAACAACATGTAGACAGGTTTTGCCACATTCCTAGGATCCTGGTGGAAAAAGATCCATTTTGCTCTACCTGGGATACTGAATATAGGTGATTTTTGTGATATGGGTGTTATTATTACTGTATTTGGGTCTTACCTGAAGAAGGGTCTCTGGGCCTCTCCTGCATGCCTCCCAGGTCTCACCCCTGTAGCCCGTGTCTCCACCCTGCACTGTGATTGACGGCTTACCTGTTTACTGACTGACATTTAGCATAGTGTCGTGAATATAACAGATGTTTAACTGATACTCCTTGAATGGAATTTAATTAGCTTAATAAATGCTCTGCACATTAGGCTCCCAGGCTGTAGTGTGCCTGCTTCTCCACCCTTGACTTTTGTCTCTGGACATGTGGACTCTGTGGAAACCCTAGGGAAGACTTAGTCTAAACAGAAGCCACCCTAGGGAATACAGTGGTCCAAGTGGATATGTCCTATTCTGTTTCCAGCTGTTCATTGATTCCTTTTTTTGGTGTTTCACGTGAGCTGTTTTATAAATAACAAGGGCCTTGTTGTACCTCAGTCCGTAGTAAGCAGTACACACTGTGCTCCACGTGTATAGAAGTCTGCCCTTTGGGAAGGATGAGCTGAAACTTACTCTTCTCATTGTAATTAGTCATCCCTTTGTCATGAATCATGGATTCTGTAACAATCTGAGGTCTGCCAGGCAACTGTACAGTCGTCTTTTGTTAAGGGCGGCATCTGATTCCAGGAACAGTGGTTTAGTGTCAGCATGAGGGGCTGGTGAAATAGTGATGTGATGAAGGCACACAGCTCATCATGATGCAGTTTTAACTAATCCTTAGAATAAGTCACAGACTGGCTTGTTCATTATTTCTTTACATACCTGAGAGACTGAGATAATAACTAATCCACCTGTGGAGGGAGAATCTGGAGTGGGGGCTCGGTCAGATGGCCCAGACCTGGGTCTTACGAGGGGTTAATGAGGAAGGGAGTTGCCCCTCCAGCTCCTGGAAAACTTCCCACTGTATTGTTTTACTACAAACATTGAGCAGTATCTGAATTGATACACTGCCTAGCTGATAGCAAGGCTCAAGTAAACCCAGGAACTTTATTCAGAGAGGTGGTGATTACAAAAGGGATTTAATTCTAAGAAAGTGTGAATATTAGAAATTTCTCAATGAGAACAGCATTCCTTTTACCTAGTTGGGGTAGGGGGAACATATTTGAAGAGGACAATTAAGTAGAGAAACTTTAGCTTTCTTTTCCCCAGCGATTTCTCACTGATAATTGTGTGGAGCGCTGCAGGCTCTCACACTCTGCAGGGAAAGTTTGATGAACACTGGGCTCTGTGAACTTAGTCCAGGGCTTGACAATAGGCTTCCAGACTGATGAATGTTGTAGCCGATCTGAAGGTGTGGCCTGCCTTTATCTTTAACTGTGATGTCACTGCAGTCTAATTGCATTCAGCATTTAGGGAAGACTCTTTAGCATTGCTAAATCAAACAGCTTTTCATCACAAAACCCAAGGGAGAAAAATGTAAGAGATACTTGTGCTAAATTAAAATGATGTCATGGTGGCAAGCAGGTGCCTCAGGGACTCCAAAACTGGCTGGTCTTCATTCTGAAAAAGAGTGCGAGTGAGATCTGTTGGTTGATAATTCCGTCCGCACACCTACGTGCTGTTAGAGATATAAGTACACTCTTTGTGTAATTAAATACATAGACTCACTGGACCTTCAGAGCAGTTCACCAAGCACTGCCTTAAATCTCATAAACTTAAATCCACAAAGGGCTCTGTTGGTTCTTTCTGGAGTCACAGGATTTTACAGTTCCTTTGTTAACTCACCTTAAGACATGGCATTAACTGGGGGTAACCGCTGGGTACACTGGGAGAATAGCCACTTGGTGAAGACGGTTTGTAATCCCCCCAACTAGATGAAAGCTAATAGCTCACACGGTCCTGGGATGCACAGGGGAAGTGGACGGGTCATGAGGAGGACACTGGAGTCCAAGGAAGAGCCCTTGAGGGACTGCTCGCTTGTCACAAAGTGACAAAACCACTGCTGTCTGTTCTGGGAACAGAGCTGATGTTGGGCAATCTGAGTTCTAGTTCTAGTTCTCTCACTATGTGACAGTTCCAATCTATTTCTATGCCTCTCTTTACCTGCAGAATGAACAGCGTTGAGATCAAGGCACTCTAAACTTAAGCATTCTGTAATCTTGCCTAAAATAATTTCAGTCCCAAATGATTAGTGGCTATATTAATCAGGATTCTCCAGAGAAACAGAACCAATAGGAACCACCTATCTATCCATCCATCCATCCATCTACCAAGAGATTTTAAGGAATTGTTTTGCGTGGCTATGGGGGCCAGCAAATCCGAAATCCACATGGCAGGCCAACGGCCTGGAAATTATGGCAAAAGCTGGTGGTGCTGTCCTTAGTTTGAATTTTGCATAGCAGGAGGCTAGAAACTCAGGCAGAGTTTCTATGTTGCAGTTTCAGGGGCAGAATTCCTTCTGCAGGAAACCTGTCTTTGCTCTTAAGGCTGTCAACTGATTGGATGCGGCCCATACACATGGAGGGTAATCTGCTTTACTCCAAGTCTTGATTTAAATGTCAATCACATCTTCATATATTTTGGAAGGGGAGCAGTGGTGGGTGGTTGCCGAGCTCAGAGAAGGCTTCGTGGGAGAGGAGATACTTAAGGTCTTGAAAGGTGATGAGGAGTTTCCCAGGGAGGCGTTCCCAGCAGGGAACAATATGTGCAAAGGCATGGAGAATAAAAAACTGACACTCATGAAATGGCAAGGTATTCAGAATGAATGGATGGAAAGCTTCTGTCCATAGGTGTCTGTTAATGTGTGTGTGTATTATATATATATATATATCTGTTGTTAGCACTGGAAAATTAAAATGTGGCACATTTTATAGTTTCTTGGTAAATAACCATCTATCAGGCCATCAGTAAAAATGACAATTCATGGTTTTTAAAAAATTGTCAGTATAATGTATTTAGATAGAGTCTACTTAAGCTTGTTCAATTTTTTCATTCTTGACAGTTAAAAATATATATATGTATATTTGCCCATACTGGATAATTAAAAAGTGAATTAAGAAATTTATGTCTATATAGGATTTAGCATATAAAGGCAGGCATTCTTGACCAAATTTCAGGGTTCTGAAAGTTTTCTCTGAATCAGTTATGTCACATTGGGCAAATCAGTTTACATCTTTTTGCTTTAAATTCTTACCTGTAAAGAGACAGAGTAGGGGCTGCTTTTTATAGGCTAATCTGTGATCCTATAAATGAAAATTGTTATCCCTATTGTGCCTAGTTATATAGGTGTATTTCTCTAGCATCAGTCATTGTGATAATCACACCTTTCCCAGTAGTGTCTATTTGTGGTGAGAGTACTTTATTGCTGCTTTGTTCGAGCATTTCACGTTTCATCTACTTTATGGAGTATCTGATGTGTATTAATCCATTAAATACTTAGAATAGCCCTGCAAAGTAGATAATAGCATTTCCATTTTATAGATGAAGAAACCACAGGTTCAGACAATTTAAATAACCAGACTGGGCTCGCTCAGGTGGTAATGGGGAAGCTGGGGTTGAACCCCAATCTTTTGGGGTTCTGTATTCTTTATCAAGGACTGTAACCCACAGTACACAATCATTACCATACGATAGTATCTTGTGTACCTAGCAGAGGTGAAATGCCTTATAAAAAGACAAGTCTCACTGTCTGAAAGCAATCTGTTTGACATTTTGAAAAATGAAAGAAAAGAGAGGTCTTTCTGGTTTGCTGACTAACTGGCCCGTGAATTTTGATATAGCAGAAGGCAGGAATTTTAATATGTCCCTGGGCAGCGTATCAAACATAGGAACAAGGGATTATCCTCCGTTGAGGACATCCTCCTGAGAGGACCCAGAAACCACCTGCTTCATAAGTTATGAAACGCTGATCCTTTGACTCAACCCACTTGCTTTTGGTGTCTGCCGGGCACCTGTGGTGACTCTCCTTGGCATGCCGCTTCCAATTAGGGTCTCAGCTGGCCCCTCTACTTGAGGGGATCAGTTCCCTGCCTCCGAAATAGCTTTTGGTTTTCAGCCTAGGTACCATCAGAGAGCCACGTCCTCATCTTCCAATCTAAATTAGCTGCTTGTCACTCAACGATCTCCTGTTTTAGGTCTCTGCATTCCACGCATCACTCTAGGATATTTTTCCGATTTGTTTATTTACCTATTTGTTTTGACGGAAACTCAGTGAGAGCAGAGACCTTCTCTCTTACTCACTGCTCCACCCCAGCTCTGGATAGTCGTGTGGTCACAGTAGGCTCTGTCTGTCTGTCTGTCTAATCCTCTATCTGTCCCTCTCCCTCTTCCTCTTTCCCTCCTTTTTTCCTTCCTCCCGTCCTCCCTCCTTCCCTCCGTGTAGGTATCTATAAAATGGCTTTGCCGTATGAAGTTATAGGCTGAAGCAGTAAATTTGTTTCTCCGATTAGGATGTGGGAAGACCCTCAGCTTCCTTTAATCCCTTAACCTTGATTTTTCTTTCAGTTGCTCCCTTTTTGTATCAAGTCCAAAGTACAGCAGAGTGCTGAGAAATTGAGCTTTAATTACTAAATTATGATTTTGAAAAAATTATTTCTTACCACCCCTGTGTCTTTGTTTTTCTCTTGCCAGGGCTCTGTGATTAAATTATAAAGAGACCTCTTCCGCGGTTCATTCTGGATGAATGAATGGTTTCCTCGAGCGCCATCCACACTTCCCCTAGGGGTAAGTTCGGGGCACTTGTCCATCTCAAGCGTTAATGTACGTCAGTCTGTACCTCTTATGTTTCCCATGTTGCTCTGTTAACTGCTTTCTAAGGACCTGGGTGGGAAAAGCCAAGGTGACCTGTCAGGTACTGATAACTGAGGTTCCTGCAGGCAGTGGGGAGTCAAATCTGAGTGGCTTATTACAAACATGCTTTAATTTGATGTGTTGGACGATCCTCTTTATGTGGGAAACCATTTGCCCATCTTCTCTAGGAACTTGGGTGGAGAAGTTGCAGTCTGGAAAGCATTCATTTCCACCTGTTTACATGGCAGATACTGATAGAGCGCACACCTGAACTCCAAACCAAATAGGACCTCCTGTTGAAGAATACACCTGGAGTGGGTAAGTTCTAGCTGGCTCTGTACGACAGGTAAGCTCAGGAGACTTGGGCATTAAGAAACCACCAAGGAGAGGGAAGGTTCCAACTACGTTAAGGCTGTTTTAGACGGACTGGGGGCCTTTTACTTGTAGATGTATTAGAGTCACAGGTTAAGTACTAAAGCGGGAGAGCCGAACAGTCCCAAAGCAGTGTTTGGAAGGGTTGTAAGTAATTCCCTGGGTCAGTTTGTGTTTCTGCAGCTCCTGCTTGAGTTGCTGAAATGCACAGACATAAGCCTCCACTTTCCTGGCAGCCACCCGCCCCGTCTTTCCAGCTGAGATGGGCCCTTTGCATCTCAGCTCAAGGTGCTGCCTCTGAGAAACCCTCTCCAACCACCCAGGCTGAAGTTTTGGCCACCCTGTCACCTGCTACCACATCACCCTATGTTGATTCTCTGTAGAACACTGGTCTGACAGTTCCCTCCCTTGTGTATGTATTGATCAGCTTGCCACCCAGCTCTGCTGTCACTGGTAGTTCCATGGGGACACGACACTTGTCTGTCTTGGCCCTCACATAACTGTGTAGACCAGGATAGCGTCTGGTGCACGGTGGATATTTTTTGATGGTCTATATAATGAGTTGAACAGTTAAATAAAGCTCACTGTGTAAGTTGCTCAGTGTCGTATGGTGAGAAATTTGCACCAGAGATTTGGGAGATTCCATTTTGTCTGTTTCGTAGTTGTTTCTAAATGTGAACTGTTCCCTTGTAGAATTATCAAGTTTAATATGATCTTCCATGTAAAAGTTAAGTTTCCTAGCAAATATAGTACATAACAAATTTAGAAGTTATGATAATAATTGATAATATTTGCACTGACTGACCTTTATATCATCTACATTAGAATATTCAAAAGGAATATCTAATTAGCCTTGGAGAGGTATTTCATTTATGCTTAAAGAAGTTCAGAAACCATGACTGAAATACACCTTTTGGAAACCCTACAGTCTAGATATTTTGGAGTCAGATTGCCTGTTCTTTGATTCCTGTCTCTGGCATTTCCTGGTTCACTGATCCTGGGCAGATCGTTTAACCTTTGGTGCCTCAGTTTCTTCTTCTGTGAAATGGGCATATGAAACAAAAGCCTTTTCCTCATAGAGGGATTTTGAGTAATTATAATAGCACATATATGCTCATATATATGCAATAGAAATTTCTGCTGTTTTCTTTCATACATGCTTGGCTTTTTATATATTAAATACATCAAGTAGATTTAAATAATTATGTATTTGGGTGCTATTCATAAAGTGGCAACATACTTTGAGGATTTGGTTTTGCATTGTGTGGATGAAAACAGCAGTCCATGCCTGAGGTCACTGGAAAGAATAAACTGACTTATAATCATTTATAATTTTCATAAGTAACAGTAACGATAAAACATTGTTAATATGTCACATCCCATATGTGTAGCGATACTGTGGTCTCTTTGGTGTCAGTCTGAGTTTTTGAGTTGTACTTGTTTTATGGCCTTTAGCAAATTACTGACTTTGCTTAGCCTCTGTTTCTTCATTTGCAAATAGTGATGATAATATGAATAGGATTGCAATAAGAATTAAAGATGAAAATACACGTAACACTCCTGGCACATGGCTTCAGAATCCTTAGTTTCTGTCTTTTCCTTCCAGATCTTTGAGTTAAGAATATTAATATCCAGAGGAAAGTGGCCATGGCTAGGAGTGTTTGGAATAGTGTTCTATTTATAATGATGAAGGGAGCCGAATATTTAGCATAGAAAGGAGTAAGCTTAGGGGGGAGCCTAGTGCCTGCCCTGAAGTATCGGGGAGTATGTCCCCTATCAGGGGGACAGGGGCAATGAGGCACCTTGCTCGGAGGCCCCTTTGGGTTCCATGTTAGGAAGGGTTGTGTTAGGAGCTTTGGGAAAAGGGGGCTGGCTGACGGGTGAGCCTGTGCAGCGATGAGCATCACAGGGTGGGTGTGGCGTCCGCAGGCCGGTTGGCTGCAGATCAGGAGTTCCTTCGAAAGGATTCCTCCGCTCATCAGGAAGGCAGATGCCATGGCAGGTGTAGTCTTAACAATGCCTCTCCTGTATGAAGGGCCTTGTGTCCAAAATCATGCCTGCCTAGCTGGCTGTGTAGAGATCTGTGTCTCTAGAAACCAGGGGTTTAAGCCTTCTGAAGTCAGGGAGTTAGGACTGCTGATTGTTTTCTTTTAAAATAGGATTTAAAATTAGCCTGTTTGTCTTTTATCATTTGCACCAGAGGTCTCAAACTGGTAGGCTTCTGGCTGGTTCTAGGTTGTGGATAAGCTCTGTTGGGCCTGCAAAATGTATCCCCGACAAGTGTTTTAAGGATATTTAGTTTCTTACCTTTACAAACTGCAAATTTTACATAAAAGCCACATGTTCAGTTTCTTGAAAATGCAGTTCACAGGGTAACACAGGGCTCTGCATTCCCAGCAGCACTGCATAGCTGGAGCCGGGGGCTCCTGGCCCTTTGGAGCCGATCCCTCAGAACCAGTTTGCTGCAGTCCCCACCACTTCATGCAGCTTCCCCAACATGGGGTGTCAATGACCATTTTTCATTTACTCAAGTTGTTTTTCCTTATAGCAGAATTAGGAGAAAACTGGAAAAGTTTCATCTACTTCTTACTGGGAGTGGAGACACTAAAGATATTTCTATAGAGTTTCATATTTCAGGAAAATAGAGCATTTTTGTGTGTGTGTTGAAGTACACTTGCACAAAGTTTCTGCTTCTGAAGAATACAGCAGTCAGACCTGCTTCGTTTGTACACCTTAAACAACCCTGGAGGTGTGTGTGATTCCTAATCAGTGCAGTAAACACTTTTCCTGCCGTTCAGACACAACTCTTTTGCTTTTATTTGAGGCTATTTCCTGTCTGCCAGCAGCAAGCTCCCCTGCCTTCTTTCAGATCCATTGTTCGTTCTGGTTCAGTGCAACGGGAACAGTGTGGGGACTCTGGAACTAGGTACCACTCTGCCTTCTCCAGGGGACCCCCAGGCTCCCTAGACTTCATGGCACCAAATGAGGGCTGGTAACCTCATGTACTCTGAGCATGGTTTCCCCCAGAACTGTGCTCTTTGCCCACCAAGGTACAGACTGAAGTCTTAGGACTGTTTTCTATGTGCATTTGAATTTTAGCAAAACACATAGTCTGGTGTTGTTTGTTTATTCTGCTTTACAAGGGTGGTCTGGCATGAAGATAAACTAGAAGGGAGGGAGAAATGAGGGAAGAACCACGAAAACTGATTTCTGTTGTTTGTAAGTTGCTTGGGAAGAAGTGAGAGGTAGGTGGTGTGCATGGATAACGATGGAAAGACTAGACTTAATTAGCAGAATTTTTCGGATGATTGATTGAAAGTCCCTGGAAGGAGTTCTCATCTATCAATTAGTTATTTAAGAATGGAATGTGCTCCCTAAAAGAGCTGTGGACTTTCCATCACTCAGTATATTAGGAAGAAGAGAGCGGCCCATCTGTCAGGATACTGTAGGAGGTTCTCAAAAACAAGCAAGATTGGGTGAGATAGATGACCTCTATGGCCTCTTCCAAAACTCAGATTCAATTATTCTCTGCATTAAATGGATTAGGGACCTTTCAGCTTAAATAGTTTCACTTCAGTCCACAGGAAGAAAATATAGTGACTGGCGTGAGAGGCTGAATACAACACATTTAAATTACATTGAGTTCTGGGCAATTGAGTTCTGGGCAAATTACTGGTACTTTTTAAAATGTTCCAGTATAACCCTTTGAAAATGTTGTAAACAGATGTGTCTAGTGGCAAATCTTTATAAGCCAGGATTTTAGAAGCACATTTCCTAAATGATTTCTTTTTCTACTGACAAATTTCATTTTGCTTTGGCTAAAACTTGTTTTATAGTTTCATTTGTGGCAGCATGATTTTTAAGACAGATTTGTATCACTTATATAAAAATATTATCTGTTACTTACTATAAAGCATTCTATTTCATATTTTAGGATTTTATCCATTGTCAGTAATTCTCAATTGCCAAAGTGCATTAACACTTTGGATATGAAGATCTACAGAAAAAAGTCCCTTTAAAGAAAACCTTTTATTAAAAATTTGTTTTAAATCTTAATTTTTATGTCATGTAATTCTTGCAAAAGTAATTAACTGGTCATTTGGTTAAATTATTGGAGCTTACTTGTTATGGAATGTAAGGTACCACTTAGACTTTATGCCTTAAAGTCTCTCATTTTCATGATAATTAACTTCCATTAATAATTGAATTCCATTGAAATTTTTTTTCATGTTTGATGCCTTTGACTCACTGAGAAAAAAATGTGTGCCAGGAACATTTAAAAATATTAGATTTAATAGCAAACACTTCACCCTGTTTTGTAGAGTTTCCATTCTCAGGCAGGCCTTGTGTTGAATACTCTACATGTATTATTTAATCCTTACAACATCGCACTGAGGCAGATGATATCATCCCCATTTTACAGATTAAGAAAGTGAGAACTTACATGGCATGTCCAATGTTACCCAGCAGGGTCTGTAGTCAGGATAGAGGGACTCTAACACTTGCGTCCTGAACTGTTCGACTGGCCCCCTTCAAACAATGACAGAGCAATAAATGGACTGCATATGTCAGCTGTACGTTTGTGTGGGTTTTCAGTGTCACACGTGGGAGGTCAAACCTTCAAATCATGGCAGTCTTAGATACGAAGGCCAGTCATGCATGCTTTCAGTGTATTCTTGGGCTAATTTGGAAGCATCTGGTTTTAGAAACAGACTTGCTAGATTTGTGCCTTTTGATGAAATGGGGAGAAAATGGAGCTCCCCCAGTAATATTTCTATGAATTTTAGGATTTTCACATGACTATTTCACATGCTTCATTTTCTTCCAGGGTTGCTTTAATCTAGGACATTTTTACAAAGGCATTACTCAAGTTCTGTGCTTTTTTAATGCTCATGATTTAACATACTGCCTTTTCCATCAGAAGTAGCAGACTGAATCTCTCTTCA